AATAATTTGTCTACTTGTGTTGCCTAGCAGCAGAGTTCTCAGGGGAAACTTTAACAACAAACACACTGTGAACTCAACTCATGTAGAAAACACAAACTGATCGAAGTTGTCACATCTCTTGGTGGCCCTTCATCTTCACTCAGTTATTGAATCATGCCCTTTTTACACCTGTGCCATACTCTTTCTATTCTTCTTATAGTTTTTGTGTTCCTTAGTGGAGGTTTTGCCACCAAAAGCTGACTTCCAGATCAATTAAACCCACTTCAATAAACAAAGGTGATTTCCATTATGACAAGACTGAGACTTATACAGCAAAATGACTACACCAGTGGTAATTTAGGTGTGTCCTGTTAATGGTGGTGAATACTTGAATTTATTCAGATCACTTTATACAGATCTGTTCTCACATTGACATTAAAAGGGTCTTTTCCTGTTGATTAGTGTCAAAAGCTACACTAAATCTATTTTGATTTGATGCTGTAAAGAGGTGAAAATTTCCAATGAGGTTGAACACTTTTTATAGGCACTGTACGTTACCCACTTCCTGGGTGTCTAATGTCTTATAAAGGTCTTGATGACCAAAACAGATCTGATTAAGAAAGACAACCTTTTAAAAGCTGCAGAAATTTAAATAAATGGAAGCAGACGCAAGACATCTTTAGTTGCTGTGACTGAGGCTTTTAAAAGATGAAAAATAGGTCAGAGGTGCTGTTGCATCTAGGCTATGTGGCTCTCCTGTGGACAGAAGTCAGTCTGATCTGGTGACTGTTGCTACTGACAGCTAAAGGACAACTAAGAGAAAAGTGCAATCAGCCCTGAATCGCACGCTGATTCACTGAGGGTGGTATTTGTGTACAAAGGAGGAAGAAGAGGCAGAAATGTAAGACAGAGAAAAAAAGAAATGATGCCGCAGCTGCTCTCACTGGTGACCTTGCACGAAGTCTCATCCTTTCACTCATTTTATTTTCCTGTTACTGACAACAAACAGCATTAAACCCACCTGATGATTCTTTAACACTTCCAACTCTTTCTTCTAAAGGCATCAATTTCAATAGCAGCGAAATGTAAATGAATGCTATCAGTCCAACAAAAAATACATATGTAGATAAACTCTAGATGCAAGGGAAAGAAGAGAAAGAAGGAAGGGAAGAAGGATAGATGGAAGAAATGGAGGAAAGGAAAGGGAAGATAAAAGATGAACATGAACTCAAGTATGAAAGAAGAGATAAAAGAAGAGGGGAAAATAATAGGAACAAGTAAAAAAGCAGGATAGAAATAAGAGACAGATGGAGGAATAAAGAAGGAATGAAAGGAGGACATTATAAAGACAAATGGGAATAATAAGTAGGTAAAAAATAAAAACTGAAAAAACTGAAAAAAGGGAAGGGGGGAATGGAAGATAGTGGAAATAAAAAATAAAGGACAAATGAGGAAGGAATGAATGAAGAGAAGATGGGGAGAAAGAAGGTGAACTGGAAAATAATGGGTAGGATGAGGAGGAAGGGGAGGAAGAGGGGTGGAAGTGGAAAGTGGGAGACAAAAAGGGAAGATAAGGGAAGGATGACTGGAGGAAAGGAAAAAAGTTACAAAAGAGGACCGTAAAGGAAGATGGTGAAGATGGCAAGAAGCAAAGAGCGTAAGAGAAAAAACAAAGAACAAAGCAACCATAGAAGGTAAGAAAAAAAGAGAAAGTAAGAAAAAAGAGTCCAAAAAAGAAAGAAACAAACAAGGGAAAACGTATAGAGCAGGCAGAAGAAGAGGGGAGGTCAGGAAGAAGAAAGGAATAAAGGAAGAACAATGACAACGTAGGATAGAGAAAAAATATTAGTAGGGAAAGTGGAGAAAGATTGAAAAACAGAACAATAGGATAAAGACAAGAGAAGAGATTAAGAAAAGAGGAAAATAAAACATTAACAAAGAATGAAGACAGAAGTCACAGAAGAAGACAGGGGAAACAAAAGGTAAGGGGTACAGAAAAAAGAAGACACTAAGGAATCAGGTATAGGTAAGCGGGCACAAAATGGAAGAAAGGAGAAAGCAAGAGAATAAAGATATAGGAAAGTATAGA